CATCCTCCAGCAACTACTATTTCTCATCTAACAGCATTAAAACCCAATTTTCATGCAACCCCTAAGAACTCCGACGCCTATAAATTGGACACATTGGTTACCTAGGAGGGGAAGATAGACAAGCACGGCTGGAAGAGCAAGCATATCCTCTAACTGCTTAAAGTACCATAACTCAAGCCTCAACCTTTCCACGCCTTTCCAAAAACACCCAAACCATTCCAACATCCATTCCTCAAGAAAATCTCTCCTTCTTGCTAAACTTATGAGCTCTTAGCTCTCACACCACAAGCCACTCAAGTCAAGCCTAAACTTTTGATTCACTTATCTTTATCTGCTTGGTGAGAAAAACCACAGTATCAATAAGAATCAGCATTCTTTCTGGGTATTTTGGGGCCTAGTTCTTGAACCCAGGCAAAGAGGCAACTTCACTCTCTCTTTACAGCGGCCCAAGTCCACCTAGAGCTGCTAGAACAAAAAGACCCCCACAAATGTTTACCCCTACCCCTTACCCAGTACGTGGTATTCACGTGTTGGGCTTAAATGATTGACTTTGATGTGGACTTGGCTCCACGTGTGGCCCACTATGTAGTGGTCCCACATGAGGGGGCTTGTTGAATAATATAAGTCCCACATCGAAAACTTGACTAGCTAAATAAAATAAAATATATAATGAATGATTTTACTACTAATATCACCGAGGCCTTTTGTGATAAAACCCCACACCTACTGAGCTTTGTAGATGGTTAAGTTGAGGATAATATCGATATTCTTAGTAGTGGGCCGCTTACCCGTCTCTTTGAATTTAACGAATACCATCCCACTTGCATAAACCAATTTCCAAATGAGTGCAGTAGACTTCTATTAGTGGGAATTTAAGGTCTTTAAAGTCTAATTTATTATTAAGTTAATGAAAATGTAATTTTATAGGGAAATGGAGTAATTTAGTGGGAAGCTAAAAGGGCCCGTGCCTTTTTTTACAGCATTTACCTCTTTGGAAAACAACCACTTTCTTTATTAGATTGAACAATCCAACCTCTTCCTGCTCTACTTCTGACCCAATTTCAAAACTTCCTCATTGTTCTCTATTTATATGGCTCTCTCTTTCCATCTATTTCTCTCCATGGTTCTCTCTTTTTATGGCCCCCTCTATCGCTCTCCCATCACCCTATTAAGTTGATTGAAACAACCAATCGAGTTTGGGCAGCAAGGTCGCTCAAGTATTGTTCTAATCCTTATGACTTTTGGTTCGCTAAATGTACGTCCTAAAACGCTAACGTACCATGTATGTCATAAAGGATAACATCTAAGTAATAACATAAATAGTTTTTCATGCTTTCCAAAAGATTTTTCAATTTTGAGCCAATTTAAACCTTTCAAAACATTGGACATGTTTAAAATTTGGGTAAACATCATTTTACCCCCTCAAGGTTTGGGGTCATTCTTGAAATGGGCCATGAAGTTTTAATTTTTTCAATTTACGTCCTAAGTTTTTAAATTCGACCAATTTACACGTTTCGTCAGTTTCACCATTTGGTCTTTTGTTAAGTGATGATGTGGCAAACATAGGGTCCACTTTTTTTTAGCTTAGGTGTTGTTTGTACCATATCTGACCTGCCACTCACGCCATGATATGTGGAAGGCCCTATGGCCCGCACTGGCTAGCCCAATTGTACAAATCGGTAGGTCCTTTAGGTACCCACGACCGATTCTATGACAAGTGTAACAACCCAAACCTGAATTATTATTTAATTAATAATTTAATAGAGGAAAAGACTAAACTACCCTTGGAATATTTTATTAGGTTTTAAGTTGAATTTTTGACCGGGGAAGAATTTGGAAATTACGCTTGTACCATTGCATAGAGTGCGACGAAACGAGTCCGTAGACACGTAGTGGACTCGAATTAGACTTGTAACGAAGAAAATACGAGACCCCTTCCCTCCATAACCACCTAGCCACACCGCCAACCACCACCGGATCAGACATAACTCGACCGGCGTGACCTCCGCAGCCCAACCCCGACCTTCCCCGCTGTCCAGACGCCACAAATTCGCTGGAAAACTGTAGAAAAATAGGCTGGTTTTTGCCCAAACTTCTCATCGCTTGTTCTCCCTCCTCCGGCCACCAAATCAGACGAATTAGGTATGGATTTTCGACTATTTTTCACGATATAGCTGATGGTTGGGTAGGTTTTGAGAGATTTTGAAGTTTGATGGGTTAATTTTCAAGGGTTTAGGGTTTAGGGTTGAAGTCTGCCGAGTTTGAGAGCTTAGTTTCAGCCACTTCCAGCCACTTTTTGGCTATAGTCCAAGAACAAAAGTGGTTCCAAATTAGGTGTTTTACCTAGGATAGGAGTTTGGACTGGCGGTTTGGAGATTTTCCTGCCGTCGGAATTAACTATGCACACCCACGCGCTGCCGGCGCGTGGGCAGCTCGTGAGCTAGGTGTCGGGGACCACTCTTGGTCCTAGAATAATCCTTGTGTCCTCATGAGCACGTAGGAATTTACGGATCTCAATTTGGAGAAAATTTGAACCCCGAATGGATCTCACATATTGTGCGATTTCCGAGTTCAATACGTTTGGACCATTGGATCGTAGTCAAACTGGAATATGTTGATCTAGGTAATTTCAGGATTGTGTAGGATTAAACGGATCGTTAATCGGAGTCCTGGATACTCCGAAAAGGCCAACCCTAGGGTTAGGATTACGGAAAATCAGTCGTCCGTTCGATTGTGCAATCGTGAGCAATTCGACCGTCCGATCGAGACCAAACGCTCGGGACATGTGTCTTAGGCAGACTGGAACCTCTAGGAACTATCATATTGGAATTTGGAGGTCGTGGACCCCACGGGGTCCCGAGTTGACTTTTTGGGACTTTATCTCTTTTGAGTCCTGAGTTACTTCTAAGTCATGCTCATTGAGAGAAAAGCTAATGTGGGCATATGAATGATCTTTAAAGTGATGCACGCACTTTTAGAAGCCGGGGGTCAGGGTTTTTAATTTAATATTATATTATTGAGCAGAGTTATTAATAAAATATTATGATGGTTATTCAGGCACCCGGGCACCAGTTAACCACAGGAGGGACCTTCAAAGGGTTCAGCTAGCTCAGAGCATCTGTGAGTGGACCTTTTTGTTTCCATAAATGAATTTATGCAATTTAATCTCATTATTTGATCTTGAATGAGTTTATTCATTTATCAGAGTTTTAATAGCTTGATTTATCGCTTTTATATGCTGCCGAGTTGAGAGTGCCTAGGGATTATGACATACCAGAGTTTTAGATAATTAACAGATAAAATGGCAGTAGAGTTCAGGAATAAATAAGAATTCATTTTTATTTCTCATGAACTGTTCTGGAACTTTATTTTCTTAGAAACCACCATAGGTACCCAAGAGTAATTAAGGTTGCCTTCGGTTTATATGTGTTCCCTACGGATTAAATTGTTGCCTTCGGTTTTATCAATTGCCTTCGGATATGTCAGCATGCTTGACTTACGCTCCGCAAGTCCTAAAGGTACCCAGACCGTGGGAGCGAGGTACGCGGGTCAGGTCGACTAAATGTCCCCTAAATCCCGTGAGGATTGCGGGTCGAGTTACTTTGTGTATCCCGAGGTCTGCTAGGACGTGTCAATCCGGTGGCGCGAGGACGTGTCAGTCCAGTGGCACGAGTATGGAATTGACGGAAACTAGTGGAATTGACGGATTAATAAATTGGTACACCTAGGTGGTAGATTTAAAGTTGATTTCAATGCTTTCAATGATTTAATGTTTGATCAAGTGTGTGATTGATTCAATAGATATGTATATATGAATGCATTGATTTCAGTACGAGTATAAATAAGAATTGATTTAGTTTTATAACTAATTTTACAGTGGGGTTAGTATGTTCTTATGTATTTTCAGAAAACTTTGTTTTTGGTCCACTCACCTTTTTAATGTTTTGCGGCCCTAGGCAGTAGTTGTGCGTCAGTGCGCCACCACCGAACTGAGTCCATCTTTCACCACATTCATTGACAACGTAGGGTCTTGTATAATTATTTTATACTTGTAATCTTTTGTGTAGAGCTCTGATATTGCCCCAGAACGTATGTTTAACTGTTATAATGTAAATATTTGCATGCTGGCAGTTGGTGTGTATATTTGTTTGCTTGATTGACAGGTGTAACTTTGGGATTGGTCTAATTACAGGGGAGACTCTGTTGAATTTTCGGCAGAAGTCAAACCCCAGTTTTATTTGAAAATTTGACTAGAAGGGCAATAAGGTCAATTGTGTCCAGCACCTGCCAGGTGTCGGACACGCACAGGGTCCGGCTTGGATTTCAAAGTGGAATTTGGGTCGGGTCCTGTCAACAGGACCTAACCCGAATTCCCCCTTGGAATCCGTGTCAAACCCTGTTACCTATCTGGCATCCAACTAATGCTGGACTCACCTACTATTTTACCCTCTTCCTCTCATTCATAAAGTTAAAGGGTTAAGACGTCTACCGAAATTTTGGCTGAGTCTTCCTTGAAAAACGGACATTTACCAAATTATTTTCACCAGTAAATATCACAATGTAATATTTCCAGACTTCTGCATGCACAATGCTAACACATACAATTTACCATATGGGCCTCCAGCCTCAAATTCAACCTTATCAGGGCAATATCAACGTAATCTACAAATTTGTTTCTTACTTTATAAATAGCCACAAATTCCAAAGCATAACTCAGCAGTTTATTTTGCGGCTGCACCTAGGTTAACCTAGGTTACCTACGTACCCTTACCAAGGGATCAAGCCACACATAGTTCTTTCATACTAAAAACAATCACAATTCATATAATGAAATATTTAATCAAACTTGAGTTTGTAACCACCATTATATTCTTTATCTTTATATTACAACACAATCTGAATCCAAAACAAACCAAGTTTCAGACTAAACCTTTTACCTGAAACCATACCTGCAACCATCTGTATAGCGCATATCCTGCTATCACCCACCAAGGGGTATATCATCAAATCCGAAGGCGACCAAGGGATGGGGGAAACTAGCCAACCACCTGTGTAGACAAATCGGGCAGGTGGCTGGGGAAAATCCTAGTTGGACACTTGCAGAGTAATCTCAATGTAGGTACAGGCAAATCACTGGCCGAAAACCCACATAAGTAGGTACATGCAATACACTGGCCAGACACCTACATAGTAATCTCCATGTAGGTACAAGCAATATCCACTGGTTGGAAACCTGCAGAGTAATCTCCATGTAGGTACATACAATATCCACTGCCCGGACACCCACATAAGCGGGTATAGGCAATATCCTAGCCAGACACCTACATAAGCGAGTACATGCAATATACTGGTCAGACACCTACAAAGTAATCTCCATGTAGGTACAGGCAATTCTAGTCATGTGCACAGACTCTACCGAAGACAACCGACCCAATTCCCAAATCCTTTCTCAAAACTGTCATAAAAATTCCCCATTTCCACAAACCCACTTCCCCAAAACTATAGTCCCACCCTTTTCTCGACTTTCCAAAGATCCGTTCATAAGTAAATGAACAAAATCCCTTTTTAAACCGAGACCAATTCAAAAACTCATTAACTTGATTCAGACCATACCTGCACATTTACAGTCCTCCAAAGCCATAAACTAATGATACTAAAATATAACTACCTCAAACTTGGAAATATAAACGATAAGCTAAATCATTCATAAATACTGGATAACACTGTCGCGATATAACAACCATTTATGTAACGATAACTATTAACAATTTCATAAATATAAACATACAACAAACTAACACCCAATATTACCACAATCCGAATCCTAAATTCATATACTTCAATAATGATAATACTCTCTAGAAATCTCATAACACATAGCAAAAGCCGATGCCATCCCATTAACAAATTCCATAACCTCAATAACCCAAATATTTATACATATATAGATATCAAACTCTCAAAAGCATAAATTCCATAACTCAAAATATTCACAAACTTCAAATATCATAATATAACCCGATAATCTCACAATTAAAACAATATTCAAATCTCAAAATCCCAACAAGACCCAAAATAATTCAAATAATAACCAAAACTTGTTTACACGTACAATTTCCATAATATACTATAATCCAATATTAAAACACAATATAACTTCATAATCTTAATAATCAAAGTAATCAAATTTATATAAATGCCGGCAGCGAGTGGGTAGCTTGAGAAAATTCCAGTGACGGAAAATTCTCGAAACACCCTACAATACCTATAACAATACTAACAAGGGGAGCAACTTTTGGTCTCGGATCCCGGCCAAAAAGTGGCTAGAAATGGGTAAAAACGGCCAAAACCGTGGGCCCAATATGGGTATTTAAATCAATCTTCAAAACTCCAAAATTAACCCAAACTAACTACATAAACAGATAGAGCACGATGAGGGGATGAATTTTCATACCTCACTCGTCGGTTTCTGTGGTCGTACTCATCGGGAACGCATCGAAAACTTCAAAAACCACCGACACTTCCAGTCGTTCCAGTCCAAAATCCTTGGGTTTTCAAGCTGCGAAAAGGGCTGGGTTAGGTAGGGGACATCGATATGAAACTTTTGGGACCAATTTCACCGGAAACAGTCGTCGGACGGCGAAGAAATTGCTGGCCAAAGTTTTGGCCTTGTTATGTGCGACGGAGAGAGAGAGAGAGAGAGATGTGGGGAAGAAGAAGAAAAGAAAAATAAATAGAAAAAAGCTCGGTACTGTAGCGGTAATGTTTGCTACAGTAACAAATTAAAACAATCCCACTGCGTCCTTTTTGTTTCTAGACCTTTCCTCCTTCATTACAACTCGAAATTGGGCTTGCCGCATGTCTACGAACTCGTATCGTCGAGCTCTACACAACAGTGCCAGTGAATTCTCCAAAATCCTTCCCGAACAAAAAGTTACTAAATTGCCCTTGCACCCAAGAGCAAAAATGTAATTTCACCTAAGAATTAAATTGGGTCAGGGATGTTACATTCTATGCCCAATGTGGCCTTTCATGCATTCTTGTCAAGGCCGTGTTCATAGGATTCGGTTCGTACACCTTTGGAGCATCATAATCATGCTCATCCTCCACAATCATGTTATGGAGGATGATGCAAGTCATCATAATGCTCCTCAACACCTCCTCATCAAACATACGCACATCACCCCTAATAATTGCCTACTGAGCTTGGAGGATACCGAAACACCTGTCGACATCTTTCCTGTAACCCGCTTGATAGGCAGCAAATAATTTTGTCTTCTCCAATTGGGGATGCGGAATTGATTTGACAAACGTGGTCCACCTCGGGTAGATGCCGTCTGCTAGATAATACCCATTCGAGTAGACGGTATTGTTGATTTCATAGGTGATATTCAGGGCTTCACCTCTCAAGACATCGTTGAATACCGGGGATTGACCCAGCACGTTCAAGTCATTTTGAGATCCAGAAACTCGAAGAAGGCATGCCAAACCCATGTATCGAATCCAGCAACAGCTTCGAGGATGATACTTTTTTGCCCTCTCCTGTTTCCATAATCTCCTTGCCAGGCAGTTGGGCAATTCTTCCATTGCCAGTATATACAGTCGATGCTTCCAATCATGCATGGAAAACCTCGAGCTTCGGCTTTCTATAGAAGCCTTTGGAGATCCCTAAGTGTAGGTTTGCGGAGATAGTCCCTGGTGTAGAGAGTTTCAACTGCATCACATAATCTGACCAAGCTCTCAAGAGTAATGGACTTCCCCATCCTAGCAATCTCATCCACCTGATCAGTAGATGAACCATACGCCAGTATTCGTATAACAGATGTAAGCTTTTGCTCCGGAAGAAGCCCCAAAACATCAGCAGCATCACACTTCTGAATGAAGTATGCATCGTAATTGCAAACAGCATGCATGACTTTATTGAACAAATGAGATTGCATTCTATATCGCCCTCGAAAATCAACATTGGAGTACACAGAATTTGGGATAAAGTAATCTTCCAAAAGATTCTTACCCCGGGAATGCCTATGTCTGTCCAAGTTCGGGCCACGCCCGACTTGTGAACCACAGCGGCGGCCTTGGCTTGGTTGATCGAGCAAACCCACTGCAATTGCAACAGCTTCATCTTCTTCTTGATGCACTCTTTTTTCTTCAACTCGTCTACGCCTTCTTTCTTTAATTTCTCGTTCTTGTCTCTCCAAGCATCTCCTCATGTCTGATATTGAGAGTGAAGTATGAAATCTAAAATCTGAGAAATTAAAAGATAGAGAAGATCTGGTGTGAGATGTATGAGCTGAGCCTCTGATTTTATAGAGAGATTTAGGCAAATAGAGATGACACGTGGCACAATTTTATAGGGTGAAAATCTTATCTGAAATTTGAAATTTGAAACCGAAAATCTTATTCAAATTATGAGATATGAATTTTATAATAAATATTGACAGGAACTCAAAATCTTATCCGAAAATATTCTCCAAATTAATTGTTTATGTAAAATAAATAAAAAAACGAAAAATGAATAGTATTTGCCCTTTGCCATGACAACAGATGGAAACACACTTTGCTTTTTACAGGAGCTGCCACTATTCATGTGAATAGTATCTCCCCTTTATCATGGCAAATGGGTGGAAGTGCTCTTATGTGAGAGCAGTTCATTTCAGTGAAGTTTCCAGAAGAAGAAAGAGACCGTACCCAAAAGAAAAGCTTCAACAACAGACTACAGTCTGCAAAAGCTTGAGAAAGAAAAGAACGTGAATTTGAATTTGAAACCCTAGCTAGGGTTCGAGGTCTGCGATTGCACACTCAAAACAGAAGCCAGTGATGGAGAAACCATGGGCATCGGTAGCATCAAGCTCAGAGGGCTCTCGAGAGCTTCAGTGCATAGGCAAATTGGAAATCGAAAGGCCAAACCCCATCGGATTCCTCTGCGGCTCTATTCCTGTTCCCACCGACAAAGCCTTCCACTCTTTCGATTCTGCTCTCATTCCTTCCCGCCAAACGTCCGTACTTTCTTCCCCACCTCTCTCTCTGTGTTTTTATTTATTTATTTATAATTTTCTTTTTTATTTTGAGTTTGATTTTATGGGTTTGATTTTGGTTGCAGAGTGAGTGCTCCGCGGTATCGAATGCTTCCGACGGAGACAGACCTCAAGAGTCCTCCACTGCTTTCAAATTTCCCGGACAAGGTTCTTCCCATTGCTGCCGTGCACTCCAAGGCCGCTGGAGGTATGTACATTTCTCTTTCAATTTCAAAACTGATTAACATTTAGTTTCAGTTTCTCACAATTTTATGGAATATGTGGTAGTATTGGAATTTGAGGGTCATTTTTTTGATTCATAGTTTAATAGACATAGGCTAATAGTAATAGGCATTTAATTATTGATGGCATTTTACTTATCTAATTTGATTTCTGAAGCTGTAACATGGATGGTGTTATTTTTGGTGCTTCAACTTTGGCAGATATAGCTTGGGATGGTGGTACTGTTACATCAAATCTCGCTAGGAAATGTGAGGCCCTTGCTGTGTCTGGTTTGGTTGAGTATGGGGATGAGATTGATGTCATTGCTCCAGCTGACATTCTGAAGCAGATCTTTAAAATGCCATATTCCAAGGCTCGATTATCAATTGAAGTTCATCGTATTGGACAGACACTTGTTCTGAATACCGGGTTTGTATTTGCTAATGCGGGATTTTATTTGTCCTCCATTTAAAAAGAAAAAGAAACTTATCTGATCTTTTTCTGAAGTGTAGGCCTGATATTGAAGAGGGGGAAAAGTTAATAAGACGGCGTAAAAATCAATCAAAATGTGCAGATCAATCTTTGTTTTTAAATTTTGCTATGCATTCAGTTCGAATGGAAGCTTGTGATTGCCCACCAACTCATCATGCCCCATCACCGGAGCAATCCAACTCTTCTGTTCTTCCTGGAGCGAATACTCAGTTTGTGGGACAGCATGAGAATGGTGCTGGGGATGAAGAATCAAATCATTGTCCAGAGTACACAGAGGTTAAAAGGGATGATTTCTTTTGGGACAGTAAGAAGGGTAAGAAAAATAAGGGACGCAATCCTGTTAAAAAGGCTTCACAAGTTGGTGAGAAGTCCAGATGCGCAATACAAGAGTCTGAAAAACATAGAAGAGTTGGTAATGATGGGTTTTTAAGGGTTTTGTTTTGGCAATTTCACAATTTCCGCATGCTCCTCGGAAGTGACTTGCTTCTATTCAGTAATGAAAAATACGTTGCTGTTAGCTTGCATCTCTGGGATGTTTCACGACAGGTTGAAGTGGCCTACTACAAATCTTGCCCTTTTCTTTCCCTTATTTTTTTTTTGGTTTGCATACCAACTTTTTTTCTTCTTTTTTTTTTTTTTTTTTTTTCTTCTTCTTCTCTGATAACAGGTTACACCATTAACTTGGCTTGAAGCCTGGCTGGACAATGTCATGGCTAGTGTGCCTGAGATGGCCATCTGTTATCATGAAAATGGTGTTGTCCAGGGCTATGAGCTTCTGAAAACAGATGATATTTTTCTACTAAAGGGGATCTCTGAGGATGGCGCTCCTGCTTTTCATCCTTATGTGGTACAGCAAAATGGCCTTTCTGTTCTGAGGTTCCTTCAAGAAAACTGCAAGCAAGATCCTGGAGCTTATTGGGTACTGACGTGATTTAATTTTTTGTGAAACTGGGTTTTCGTTTGTTTTCTTTTTCATTTGAGCTTTATTGTTGAAATTTCAATGCTAACGTTCATTAACTTTTCAAAATTTCAGCTGTATAAAAGTGCTGGGGAAGATGTCATTCAGCTCTTCGATCTTTCTGTGATTCCTAAGAGTCGTTCTTCTAATGATTGTGATGATAGCCCAAGCTCCCTGCCTTCTGTGTTGCATCAAGGGAGAAGTGATTCCCTGTATTCGTTAGGGACTCTATTGTATCGAAGTGCTCACAGGCTTTCACTTTCAGTGGTGTGGAAGAAATATGTCTATTGTATTTGGTACATTCCCCTGATCCTGTCATAAGTTGTTACTAATTTATTTTGAATTTCTGCAGGCTCCAAATAATATGGCAAAGTGTGCCAGGTTCTTCCAAAAATGTTTGGAACTCCTAGATGAGCCAGATCATTTGGTACTGTGTTATGTTTCTTTTTATTTTTTGGTTACTAATTCAGGAATTTTTTTTAAAATTAATTTAAGTCACAAGTAAAATTGTAACTTATAATTGATGTACTGCTGAATAGGTTGTACGTGCATCTGCACATGAACAATTTGCAAGGCTTATTTTGAACCATGATGAAGAGCTGGAATTAACGTCTGATGCTCTGCCTGTAGAATGTGAACTTACAGTTACTGATGCTGAGGAAGATTCTTCAGACTTTTTGAGTAGCATTTCTGAATTGTCAGTCCATGAGCCAGTACCCTCCCTTGTTGGAGAGGAAAATTCATGTGAAGATGGACAGAGTTTTCAAGATTCAGTAAGTGATGCTTCTGTAAAGATGGCTTTAGAAGCAAATGCATATTCTCCAAGAAAATTGTTAGCAGCAGGTGGCACGGACATTGGAGGTTCCACAGAAGCTGCACTAAGTTCCTCTGGCGATGAAAGCTCTGAAGTTGGCAAATCGCCTGCAACAACCACACATGTAGTTCAAACTGTTGCTGAACCAATCTCCTCTAAACTAGCCGCAATACATCATGTTTCTCAGGCTATTAAATCTGTTAGGTGGATGCGCCAACTGCAGACTACTGAATCCAAGTTTATGGGCCAGGACAATGAAACCCATGATAGGCCACCTTCATCTGTTAATCTTTCTGTTTGTGCATGTGGTGATGCTGACTGTATTGAAGTTTGTGACATTCGGGAATGGCTTCCAACATCAAAATTGGACCATAAGCTGTGGAAACTTGTTCTTTTGCTTGGAGAATCGTATTTGGCACTTGGACAAGCTTATAAGGAGGATGGCCAGTTACATCAAGCTTTAAAGGTTGTAGAATTGGCCTGTTCTGTTTATGGATCCATGCCTCAACATCTTGAAGACACAAAATTCATTTCTTCCATGAGTAGTTGCTTTTCATCACAGACAAAATTCAGTTATACAAATAAAAAGACAAGATCACCTAATAGTGATCTGGAGGATCTGAGCTCCAACTCCAATGATGATTGTCTTTCGTTTGAGCAGTTCTCTTCCATCTACCTCTTCTGGGCCAAGGCATGGACACTAGTTGGAGATGTTTATGTTGAATTCCATATTGCCAAGGATAGTATGATCCCTGCAATGGAGGAGAGAAAATATTCTACTAGAGAGTTGAAAGTGTCATCTGAGGTTGTGAAAGAAGTGAAAAGGCTCAAGAAGAAGCTGGGACAGTATACGCAGAACTGCAGTTCATGTTCTCTGGTAAATTGCAGCTGTCAGAGTGATAGGGCAAGCAGTGGTAGCAGTGCAAGTAGTAGTCGTCGTGATATGCGCTCGGTAACTTGTGGCAGGAAATACAGTAAAAGACCATATGCTAAGAGCAACGCCTACCCACTTTTAAGAGACCCTGAAGATGATAATCTTTGTTTGAAAATGGAGAACATAAATGTTTCTGATTGTGAATATTTACACCAAAATAGAAATGGTGAAACCACAGTACAATCTTCTAACAATTTAGAAGGCATCCTAGAGATGCATGATATGGGGTCGACACTGGCCTCTCAATCTAATGCTGCTTTGGGAGAACCAACAAAAGTGAAAAATGGTGGGATATTCAAGTACCTTGGAGGTCCTGCAGTTGGAGATGCTGAAAGCAATCTTTCTGAAGCCCTATGCTGTTATGAAGAAGCTAGAAAGGCATTAGGTGGTCTTCCATCTAGTTCAGCAGAATTACAATCTATAATGAAAAAGAAAGGGTGGGTATGCAATGAACTTGGTCGAAATAGGCTTGAGAGGAAAGAACTAAACAAAGCTGAATTTGCTTTTGCAGATGCTATAAAAGCATTCAGGGAAGTCTCTGATCATACCAATATCATATTAATAAACTGTAACTTGGGGCATGGAAGACGGGCATTGGCAGAAGAGATGGTATCAAAGATTGATAGTCTCAAGACGCATGCAATCTTTCGAACTGCATACAAGCATGCATTAGAGACTGCAAAATTAAAATATAGTGAATCACTTAAATATTATGGGGCAGCAAAAGTGGAACTCAAAGCGTTGGTTGAAGAGGCTGCTGGCTCTGAATTAAACAATTTGAGGACTGAGGTATATACACAATTTGCTCATACATATCTGAGGCTCGGAATGCTCTTGGCAAGAGAAGATATATCTGTGGAAGTTTATGAAGCTGGAGTCTTGGGAGATGTGCATGTTGATTCCACTAGTCCTAGTGGCAGAAAATCAAGAAAAGAATCACGTAAGCATGAGATTTCAGCCAATGCTGCCATTAGGGAGGCACTGTCTGTTTATGAATCATTAGGCGAATTACGGAAACAGGAGGCTGCATATGCCTATTTTCAGCTGGCTTGCTACCAAAGGGATTGTTGTTTGAAGTTCTTAGAGCCAGACCATAAGAAAAGCAGCTTATCCAAAGGTGAAAACACTATTCTCCAACGGGTCAAGCAGTACGCAGCCTTGGCAGAGAGGAACTTGCAAAAGGCCATGGATTTCTATGGCCCCAAGACGCATCCTACCATGTACCTGACTATTCTTATAGAAAGATCAGCTCTTTCACTGAGCCTTTCAAGCCCTTTACACTCAAATGCAGTATGTTCTTGAACTTAATACTTATTGAAAATTTTGAATTTTGCTTCTAACAAATAATATTTATTCACCCCTTTTTGAAACTCAGACAAAGACTAAAAAGTATCTGGTATGCATATGCATGCATGGATTGCACCACATTTTAGGGATTGGATAGGTGAATTGAATGCTAAGAAGGGGATTTTATTCTTGAATTGTTCCTTTTTATAGAACTCTTATGATCTTATCCTTTTGAGTGTTGGCTTCAGCATTTTGATTCATCTTGATGATTCACTTGCTGACTTGTTCCGTTTATCATCTTGGATCATGACATTAAGTTGATTAGAGATGTAAGTTGATTAGGAAGTTGATCAACGGATTTGATACTGAGGTCCACCACATGTACTCGTGTATTTATGTTGTCCTTCGCACTTACTAAATATTTGTTATAGAAAATTAAAAATAAAATAAAATTGTTAGCAGGTGGTTTTAACCTATGTATTTAGGCCTGTTAAGCATTTTATTGTTCTCCGGCAACATGAATAAAAAAATCTAGCGTTATAATCTGCCATGACTTGAAGCCTCCTTACTGTTGTTCGCACTCAAATACTGAATGAGGCTGAAATATTGCTTGTTTTCCAGATGTTGGAATCAGCTCTGTCTTACATGCTCGAAGGACGGTATGTGTCAGAAACAGATTCGGACTCTTTGAAAACTGATCATTCTGAGATACTTGCCAAGTTTTGGAGTCAGTTGCAGATGCTTTTGAAGAAGATGTTGGCTGTGGCGCTTGCTGCACGTGCGAACAAATCTCCTGTTCAGCCACCTTCAATATCCAACAGGTCTGGAGATGCTGAAAAGCTGAGGGAGCTTTACAAAATCTCTCTCAAGTCCACCAAGTTAAGTCAATTGGATGATATGCACTCCTTGTGGACATCATAATCTGGGAACTTGTCTGTGCATGATAGCCTTATCGTAATTATGTTTCGATAACCGGTGGAGAGAGAGCTTGGGTTTGTAATGTATTGTAATATGCTCTGCATAATATTGTCTATAGAAAGAATTGTAAAAAGAAAAATCCAAACAAATATTTGGTAAATATGACCATTTTGAATTCTGGTAATACTAGTAATAATATTTCTTGGAGTATTTTGTCATAGACTAATGGTACCCAGAGGCTTCTTCGACTGGAGCATTTTTTGAACTTTTATATGTTTTTAGAGAAGTAAATATAGTCGCAAATTGTTGGAACTTCTAGGGCTTGTTTGATAGACTAGACTAGACTATTAAAATGCCTACATTTTATGTGCATTCAAGCCATGATATGGATGTGTTGTTTAATTTCAAGGAAGAATGGAGATTATCTATAAGAGGTTGATGACTAAAACTTATCCTCCTAATCCCTTTGAAAATGGTGGGATAAAGGCTTCGTTTGGGATTACTTTTTTTGGTCAAAAACCTACTTCACTTTAAGGTGTTTGGTAAAAATAAAATATCTCGATTATTTTAAAAGCAGTGGTCTTTTGACAACAACTTTTAAAAGGAGGCTATGGGTTGGGTTTCAAAGCTACTTTCAAAAGAAGCAGAACTAAGCTTTTAATGAATTTTTTAAATTCCCAAAATACCATCATTCATTTTTAAAAATGACACCACCTCCACCGAAATAGAAATTACTTGCATAATTTGAAGAAGAAGAGTGGTGGGGTGTGTATATAGAATTATAGATGTACTAGGGTTAAATATTAAGTTGGATGATCCTTTTTGTCTTTTACATAATAATAAAACTTAAGAACTTAATGATTTAAGTATTGAAGTAAACAAAGAAAAATAGGGGATTTAAATAAAAAAAACTCTAAATAAATATCTATAAGAGTTAAAGGAAATGAAAAAGAAGCTTCCACGGTGCAGGCCAAGAGGCAGGCATAAAAGGTAGAGAGAGACAGACACGGAGTTATTTCCAAGGCAAAAGTAAATGACTTAATGGTTAAGCTACCCAATAAAAGAGGAGTGTGTTCCCAAATTGAAATCCTGATAAGATTTTGCCTTTGGGGCTCTCTTAAAAACAAGGAATGGTATACAAAGCTCCAGCTTCTGCTTCTTTATTCTCATCAATTTTGCTTCTGATTCTCGCATTTCTCTTCGCCATGGCCGATTCTGCTCCCAAATCCGTCGCTTCTTCTTCCGAATCGGCGGTCCACATCGTCTACACTGAGAGGCCTCTCGAAAATGAGGAGCCTGAGTCCTACCACATCCGAACCTTAGCCTCCGTCCTCGGCAGGTCCGTCTGTTTTCTTTCTCTACTGTTTGTTTCCCTGGAAAATCAAAAGGAAAATTAATCAAATGAACATGGCTGTGTGAATTTGTGTGTGTGTTTGTGTTTTTTTTTTTAAAAAAAATTATAAATTTTAATTTGTTGGTAATTGTGAATTTTTGTTGTATACATAGTGAGGAGGCTGCGAAGGGGGCTCTGATATACAGTTACAAGACGGCTGCCAGTGGATTCTCCGCTAAGCTCACTCCTCAACAGGTCGAGGAAATTTCAAGTCAGTCCTCTCTCTCTTTTTCTAAGACGAAATTATCTAAATATGCTGGTGCGAGTTTTTTTTTTGTTTGTTTTTTCTAGGTTTCATGATGACTATTCTTCCAGTTACTGGTAAATGCTATTAATTTATCTGATCCCTGAGAAATATCTAGACATGGTTAATGTGAATATATATATATTTTTTTTGTAATGTGGTTACAAGCTTGATTAGATTATTTCGAATCCGCTTGTCATTTCCAAATGCTGTATCGGTTCTTTGAGTGCTTATATTTAGGGAATTTGGTGTCTAGTGATTGATAGCTGCTCTCTGCAGGCTTGTGTTTAGCTTGTTTTGAACCCCAGACCTGATTTGTGTCCACAAGTGTGGCTACTTTCGTTATGACTTTTCTGCCATGTTCAGGGTGGCTAGCCTACAATTGCACTTTTGCCCGTACTATTGGATCTAACCTACTTGAGCTTTAAAGTTTTGTGCCTTTGAAGTGGAAAAAAATAAAAATAAACTAAAACCTTAAATCATGGTTTTGCTGTTTATCGTTGAATATATAATCTCTACCATCCATTCTTCTTTTCCAGTTGTTGATTCGCAATATCTGTGGTTCTAAAGAATTTCAAATTTAGCTTGTAAGTTTTTTAAAAGCAGTTTTATGCTACCGATTTTTCCCCATGAGTAACCCAATGGTAAAACATCTACTGTCTATTTGCTGATTTGTATCATAATGGTTTATTTGTGTTTAGGCTGTACAACGCTTCTTGCACATGCTTAATACTGACTAGTAGCTGACATGTTTCATAAGCTTTTACATATAGTAGAGGAATTACTGGTGTCTTAGCTGACCTTGCAGAGAAACCTACAGTAAAACATGGCATTTGTTTGTGTTTCTAGGCTGGCAATTATCTGAAATAGAGTTAGAAACTTAGGACATAGTTACATCCGAAATGATTGGTAAGTGTCTGGTTTTTTAACATTTTGGGTGAAATTTGGTTTTGACCCTTCGGAAACAATGTATATGGCATTTGAAGAACATGTATGAGTAATTAGTTTTTTGTATTCTATGATTCCTTTAGGATAGGATGATTATATTGCCAACGTGAGTTTAGTTGTTTCTCCTGCCAAAGATGAAGGCAAAAGAAGGGAAAAAAAACCCTTCTTTTAAAAGGGGCCATTTGTCATATTTTGAAGTATGAGTGTAATGATACCTTTCTTCCCAGTATTGGAAGAAGTCCCAAGTTTGAATCCCGTTCCCCCATTAATAAACGAAAAGAAGTATAATCAGTTTTTCAATACACAAATCATGCACTTCACAGAATTCTGCACAATTTTTGGCATTTTTAAGTTTATAAAATGACAGGTATGCATCTTTATGCACGTTATGAGTCCCAGATGTCTGATCATTGATAATACTCATTGTCTTTCTACTCCTACTGGCAGAACTACCTGGGGTTCTTCAGGTTGTACCAAGCAGGACACTTCAACTGCATTCAGGACCTGGGAAGCTGCATTAGAGGAACTGAACTCAATACATAAGAAACGTGTTTCAAACAGTTATCTACTTTATGTATAAAACAATAAACTTGTTTACTATTGGCACAGTGTACTTCTGCCCGAATAAGGTTTAAAATTAATGTTTAAAAGTGCCCCTTATGTACCTTCATATATTTTATATACAGTTTTTTTGTTTTGTTTTTTGAATTCCTTCTATTCCTAGTTAAGTTACAGAGGGTAGTAGTTGGAGGATGTCTGGTTCCTTAGGAAGATCAGATGGACGACTATGCTTTTGTTCCAAAAATGACTTGTCTGTTGCAGATGATAATACCTTCTAGAGCCAAAGTGGCCTTTAGTTAGGGGAAGGCTTTGGGTTAACCAACATAAGGAGGGAAGGGCTCAGGTGATGGAAAGTTATCCTAGTTGCGTTCCTCATTATCAAGTGAACAAATCTAGTAGTCAGAAGAAGCGATGGCAATAGTCGGAAGAAAAAAGAAAGTATACAAAACGATTAGTAGAAGCAGCCAACAAGGGTTGGTTGAGTTGGTAAGGATCATTCTCTTCGCTATTAAGGCCTAGGTTGGAGTCCTGCTGTCGACAATCCCTCTTGATGAGTAATCTGTAAAAACCAAAAAGGGGTCTCAAACTCCCTCTGTAAGTCCTCAAATTGGCCTTGGTATGCCCTGGTCCTGGGATGGGGTCAACTCTCCTCCCCGTAAACTTTTTTTCATAAAAAATTTAATAAAATCCTAATGGAACCCCATTGTTAGGAGCTCTAAAAATGGTAGATAGAGCCCCCATTTAGAGCTATGGTGGAATATTTCGGGCTCTAAAGGTAAACTCACACAATGGGATGTATCTAGGACTTATATTTGGGGATCTAATTTTTTTTTTCATGAAGTAATTTAGTTTGTGTTAATTTTCTGTTTACTTATTTTGTGTTAATGTATGTTTATGTTAAGTTATTTATTTATATATGAATATTTCAACAACAAAAGAAATCAAAATTTGCACAAGATTTAAAAATAAAAAATAAAAAATATTTTATAGACTTTGAAAGAAAAAGTGAGTACCACACCCAATATCGTAATACATTTATAAAATATTAATGATGGTAGCTGGAGATAGCTCCGGTTCATTATGAACTTCCATCCCTATTTCATTTGATAAGATTGCATTTACAACAACTATTGGATCCATAGAAGAAGTAGCTGGGCTAAAAGTAGAAACTAGACTAATATAGTAGTAGTAGAAGAAGAAGCTCTGTAGTAGAAGGCTAATAGTAGAAGTACAAGAAGCTATGATGAAGAGCGGAAGAACAGATTGAAGGGGTTTCGGGTTCAAGAACACGAACGTCAAGTTTCACACCTCAACATTAACAATGAAGATCAAAAACCCAGTTCAAGGGCTTTGTTCAAAATTTTATGGCGGGTTAAAGTTTTGCAACCAATAAAAACCAAGCCCGCATTAACAATGAAAATCAACGACCCCAAATCGAAACCAGACCTTAATGAACTGCCCCTTTCATTGAAATCACACCCGAACACAACAAACATAAACCAAAAAGTTAAGGGTTTAGACCCATTAACACATAAAAGTCTTGCAAATAAATAAAAAAATTATCATAACATCGCTAGAGGAAAGAAAACCATAGTACTAAAGAGAAACAATGCTCTTTCATGTGGGTTAGGTGTTGACAATCAATGCTCCTGAGGTGCTCAACTATTTGCTCCAATGAAGCCATATCGAAACTAGAGTAAGGAACTGTTGATGCTCAAAAATGGTTCAGCACTTTTGGGCCCAACTTAGTGATAAGGTATGATGGATGATGGGTGAAGGTGAGGACCTTCAACATGTGTGTGAAGATTTAGGCAAGCGATAAATATACAGAAGACGAGATATACGTGGTTCACCTTTAATAAATGGGCTACGTCCACGGAGAAGTATATTCTCATTATTATAATAATGGTGGATTTACATTTGTACATGGGGTTGGACCTAAATATAAAGGTAAGAAGTCAAAAGCCCATCCCAAGGATCCCTTCCTAAGTGGAGAGTGGTCTCCTTTTATACGTAAGGGGGAGCCTTCACTTCTTATAATATTCCAATGTGAGACTCTTTGCCTTGTCTAGAGTTGCTTCTAGTTGCTTGGTCAAGTATGGTATAAACAGAAGTCCCCCAAGTTCTCAAGTAAGGAGGTACTTCTTGGTTGGGGACTTGTAATTTTCAGTGCATTGACTGAGCAACACCTTAGGCTTCTTCCAAGCCGTATAATGCACCATCTACACCACCAAAGGGCTTGATGTAAGCTGCTGAAGGGAGTTCGCCCATGATTTTAATGTTGATTGCCGAAAAAAAATGTGGTATGAGTTGTACCACTTGATCACTTTGTCAATGACAGAAACATTCTAATGAACAACAAGGTGCTGAAGGTCCATTGATGCTAGATGCCGAATAGGCATGTTAGTACTAACTGCCGAAAGGCAAGATAAAGTGGTGCCAAATGGCATGTTGCACTCCTTGGAGTTTCAAAGAAGGAAAACATGGACTTGTATCCATTCTTCTTCTTTTGCTGCACGCTTTTTCTCTTCTTCTCTCTTTTTTTGTTGTTGTTTTGTTTATAGATGAAGAAAAACTGTACGTTTGTGAGTTATCGATTGGTAAGCTTGGCTTTGCAATCGCAAGTCTTGGTTCGGGTGTGTCTCTTCGCTCAATTGTCTTGATTCGCCGAATGGTAAGACAAGTGAGGATAGTTGTTGTGGTGGCTCGAGAGGCTTTGACGGAGTGAGCTGAAGATGAATCAACTCCAGCAAGTTCGGAAGGTTTTGGAGCCATGACAGGGGCTGTCATCAGCTGTGAGGCATAAAGTATTGAATTGCCGATCAGCCGAAGGTCTGGGCACGTTACTTAGCTCAATCATGTCCTACTGAAAGGTAGGTGTATGGATGTCCATAGAAAATTCTTGAATTTCTTTGATGGGGTGTGTTGTACGCCATTTGTATTTGTTTTGAGATGCCGACTGGGGGAAGGGCATGCAACTTCTTTAAAGACATCCAAAAATGGGCAATATTCTGGACCACAAAAAATGGGCAATATTCTGAACCACAAGTGAGCCTAATAAGATCTCAACAAAATAACGAAAAGATAAAAAAGATAAGGATTATTCCACTTATCTTTTTTGGAGAATGGTGATCGTGGCTGCTGAAATCGGAGGGGTAGATTATAGAGATTTTGCTGTACGATACTTCCAACTTGCTGGTTTAGATTTTGGAGATGAATCCCACATGGTTCAACAGGTTGACTGTGTCGTTTAGCAAGGTTTGGTTAGGGCAGATTTGGGTCTGCGCTTTGCTATTTGGATAGACCATTCATTAGAGAGCTGGGTGGGTGGTATCGAATGGTAATGTCTTTCGGAACTCTTGGATGGTTTGAAAGATTGTGGTAGAGAAGAGAGGGAGTGCCAAATGGTAATTTGATTTGCAAGCCGTGAATAGGGCCTCTCATCCTCTGTAGGCACCGATCAGAAGCTGCTGAGCACTGAATTGTCGATCAATTGGAGGTCTGGGCACGTTACTTGATTGAGGTGTCTCAATTATGTCGAGCAAAAGCTGAATCTCTCCGCTGAATCTCTCCTCAGCGCACTTCGACAGGTTGAGAGTTTACATGCGCTCCAACAGGCTATGATGTGTCGTTTGGATTTTTCGACCAAGTGGGTGTTTTGAGAAAGCCAGTGGCATGGCTATCGTTTAGTAGCTGGTCAAACGACATGGAGATGGATGGTCTCTCAAGGCTTTTGGGTGGCTTGAGCAATCTCCTGGATGGATGTGTCGTTCGGTATTTTGACAAGAGAACTTGGAATTGGCATTCATCAAGGCATGGGCATCGTACGTCACCATAGATAGTTGCCCCATACATGTATTAGAGGTGGCCTCTTTGTCTTGACTTGGACATCTTACAAATCTTGAGCAATTGATTGACATGGGGTGCTGAACGGTAGCTCCTAAGTAAGAAGCTAGCATGGTTATCCCCTGGTCTTTGAGCTTTTTGAAGTAGATGGTTTTGTGGGCATAGGAGCTGTACGGCACCATGGATCATTGGCTGATACTTGGCAGACTCCTACTAGCTTGCTGTTCAGTAGCTTTGGCTTTCCATTGAAGAGTTGCTCCCACCTTACCGTTCGGTAAGTTGGAATTGAGTTTGCAAAACTACACATTAAGAGCAAGGCATGGTGGGTCTATTGTGTGTCGTTGTTTGGTAATGTGCTTTCAGGGAAGAGTGAGAGGTAGGCCTATTGAGGCTAATTGTGAAGTTACTGTTCGACAATTGGGCAGAATTTTAAAGAATGATGTGATGCTGCTAAGAAGGCATCAGCACCTGTGACTTTCAATTCCTCCATAGATGTTATGCTTTTCACATATTTTTATCCTCTCAATCATGTGGCATGGGTGCCTTGATGAAGTTCTTCGCTTGGGGTGCCAAACGGTATCATTGGTTCCAATTGGCATGTAAGGGGCGCATGAGGCAGGGATGGCAGCTAGGTGCCGTTAGAGATTTTTGGAGAGATGTCTTCTGCTCTTTTTGAAGAGTGATGTTCCTAAGAAGGCATCACCATGTGTGACTTTCTCTTCCTACCATTCGGCAGTTTTGGATTGTCATGGGATAGTTGCTTCCATCTCTCCAATATTCACCAGGTACTGAACGGTAGTTGTAGCAACTAGTTGCTTTCATTTCACCAATTGGCAGGACGAGGTGCCGAAGGCATCGCACGCGCCGAATGATGACGGGGTGCCAAAGGCATCGCACACACCGAATGATGGCGGGGTACCGAAGGCATCGCTCACGCCGAAATGATGAAGCTTGTAGAACAAGCTCAAGTCCCCATATTTTACTCTTCAAAGGGGTGTCAAACGGTAAGGGCTCATGATCTGAAGGTGGGAACTGTTCAGCACTCGCCATTATCTCTTTGGAATGAATTATGCAGGCTTTCCCTTGGACTTGAAATGGAGGTATTGCTGAACGGCACTTTGAAATGAGATGGTGGTTTGGTCATGCAAGGCATGCAAAGTGATAGCCATATTTTGGTTGGCTTTTCCTTGATCCCACGGGTGGTTCTTTCCTTCATTATTAATTTATGTAGAAAATTATGAACATGCCACTTATCTTATGGAAGTGGGCCAAGTGGGCCTCCCTTGGGCTTGAATTGTCTTCTGCATGTTGCTGCCTTAGCACTCACAATAGCTCCAGTATGGTATTGCCGAATGGCAAATTAGGTGATGTTGATTGTAGGGGTGTCGAAGGGCACTGAAGAAGGGGAGAATGACAGAAGCCTTTTGTGTCGATTCCCACAGACGGTGCCAAACTGTTGATGCTCAAAAATGGTTCAACACTTTTGGGCCCAACTTAGTGATAAGGTATGATGGATGATGGGTGAAGGTGAGGACCTTCAATATGTGTGTGAAGATTTGGGCAAACGATAAATATACAGAAGACGAGGTATACGTGGTTCACCCTTAATGAATGGGCTACGTCCACAGAGAAGTATATTCTCATTATTATAATAATAGTGGATTTACATTTGTACATGGGGTTGGACCCAAATATAAAGGTAAGAAGTGAGAAGCCCAGCCCAGGGATCCCTTCCTAAGTGGAGAGTGGTCTCCTTTTATAGGTAAATGGGAGTCTTTACTTCTTATAATATTCCAATGTGGGACTTTTTGCCTTGCCTAGAGTTGCTTCTAGTTACTTGGTCAAGTATGGCATAAACAAGAACCGTGCCTAAGTGAGGTCCTTTGCTGTTCTTTTTTGTGTGCCTTTTGCACCTTGGTTTCCTCTTACTTCCTATTTCTAATCATGAATGTAGTGTGTTGGAATGTTAGAGGTGTTGTTAGTGCAAGGTTTAAGAATAATATGTTAGATTCGATTCGTACGCACCATATGGATATGTTGTTCATATGGGAGCCTCGAATTAGTGGTGAGAAAGCTCTTTCAGTAGTTAAATCTTTAGGGTTCCCTTGTTTTGAAATTGTGGATGCTATTGGCTTTTTTGGTGGCCTGTGGCTTTTATGGGATAATAACAAAGTTAATGTAGAGATACTTGGGACATCTGATCAATCGATTACTGCTTGTGTGACTTTGGAAAATCATTCTCCCTGGATTTTTATTGGGGTGTACGCCCATCCTTGCACCAGTAGAAGGGCGAAGTTATGGGATTATCTAAGTTTTGCTTCTAGTTGTCATCAGTTACCTTGGTTGCTAGCTGGGGACTTCAAGGAGATGTTGAGCATGGATAATAAGATGGGAGGAGTCCCTGTTAATCAGTTTAAAGGTTTAAAGAGTTGGTTTGAGAGCCATGATATGGTTGATTTGAGCTTTTCTGGGCCAAGGTTTACTTGGAGGACTAAAAATATTCATGAGAGGTTTGACAGAGCAGGTTGTAATTTAAATTGGAGGAGGATGTTTGTGGATGCTCATGTTCGACATCTGCCTCGAACCACCTCAGACCATAATCCTATTAAAATCTTTGTTCATTCTTGCCTTTCTACTAACCCTCTCAATCGGCCTTTTCGCTTTGAGGCTATGTGGTTAAAACGTGAAACTTTTGATGATTTAATTGCTCAGGTTTGGGGATAAGCTACCGATTTTGCTTTGAACAAAACTTTATCCTTAATTGAGCCTCTCAAGCGCTGGAATACCAATTTTTTTGGTCATCTACGACAGCGGAACTAATTTATTAGCCATAATAAATGGGATACGTCTGGCTTTATGTAGAGGTCCTAACCGTTCTCTGAGCTCCTTAGAGATTTCTCTTATGGATGATTTCAACAAAGTCCTTGAACAAGAATTTGTGTTTTGGAAGCAAAAGTCTCGCTTGCAATGGTTGTTGGATGGGGATTGTAATATTAAATTCTTCCATCTCACTACTGTGATGAGAAGATGAAGAAATAAAATTGAAAGGCTCAAGGATAGTGTCGGGGTCTTTGTGGAAGAGGCTAAGGGCATCAAAGTTTTGGCAGTTGACTTTTTTATGGGGCTTTATAATCAAAATAGTGTGGTGTATATGAATACTTCTATTCCAAACTTCTTCCCTAGAATTGAAGATGCTAACCTGATTTCTCTAAGTAGAGGGATTGATTTAATTGAAGTAAAAGAGAGTTTGTTTCGCATTGTTGGACTAAAAGCTCTTGGAGTGGATGGCTTCCTTGCTTGCTTCTATCAAAACCAGTAGAGTAAATATGATCTAGACATGTTAAATTTGGTAACTACATGTTTCTCTGAGGGTAGTGTTCTTGACAATCTAAACTCCACTCTTATCACTCTTGTTCCTAAAATTGAGAGCCCCGAGTCTATGGTTCATTTCAGGCCTATTAGTCTTTGTTCTACTCTCTATAAAGTGATATCTAAGGTCCTCGTGGCTTGCTTGAGACCCATTTTACCTAACTTGATCAGTCCTAACCAAGTTAGTTATGTGCTTGGGAGACATATAACTAATAATATCCTCATCACGCAAGAGCTCTTGCATAAGTTTAAGGTGTCTAAGGGCAAAAAAGGGTTTGTGGCATGGAAAATTGACCTATCCAAAGCTTATAATAGATTAAGTTGGAGGTTTATTAAGCAAGTGCTAGTGGAGCTTACTTTGCCTGAGTCCATTATCAAATTAATCATGAGCTATGTTTCTTATGTAAAGTACCAAATTTGCGTTAATGGGGAGCTAACAGACTCTTTCACCCCTTCGAATGAAATTAGACAAGGTGATCCCTTATCACCATATCTTTTTGTTCTCTGTGTTAAGAAATTGTTTCATATTATCTTTGACTCGGTTCAAAAGGGTTTTTGGAAACCTGTCAAAGCTTCTCAATCTGGTCTTGTTGTTTCTCACCTATTTTTTGTTGATGACCTCTCTTGTTCATTGAAGCTACTGTTAAGCAGACTCGAGTGATGAAGAGTTGTCTAGAAAAATTCTGTCAAGCCTCACATTAGGTTGTGAATTTTGAAAAATCTGATGTCTTCTACTCTCCTAATACCACTAAGGTGATTGCCAAGGAAATTAGTTGTATTTGTGGCTCTCCTTTGACAACTAATTTGGAAAAGTACTTGGGCATGCCTCTTCTCCACTCTAAGTGAAACGGTCTACCTATTGCCTCATTGACAAAGTGCATAAGAGGCTAGCCTCTTGGAAGTGTAAATGGTTTACCTATGCTGGGAGGGCTACTTTAAGTCAAGACATGACTTCAGCTATCCCTATTTATGCTATGCAAACCACCAAGCTGCCTATGAGTGTTTGTGTGGAGCTGGATCACTTGAATCGCAATTTCTTTTGGGGAGGAAATGAGAACAAAACCAAGGTTCACCTTTGCCAATGAATTTGGTATGTCAACCTAAGTGCAAAGGGGATTTGGGTTCAAGAAAACTGCAGTTATGAACCATGCTCTTTTAGCCAAAATTGGTTGGAGGTTGCAGAGCAAGGATAATGGCCTATGGTCCAAGATTTATGAGGCTAAATATTTGAGAGGTACTTCTATTCAGGACCCATACCTATCTAAAAAACAAAATTGTTCTTCTACCTGGGAAGGAGTGCTTCATGGGGTGGACATACCCCCTAAGGGAATGGTGTGGAGGATTGGTAACGGTGAAACTGTGAAGTTCTAGATGGATAGGTGGTTTGGTGACTGCCCTCTATTGCAGCATGAGGGGGCCTTGAGAATCTGCGATACCAATTGTACTGCCTCCAGTTTTTTCAAAAATCAATGGTGGGATGTGGATAAGTTGAGGGATGCTCCGGATGAAACCTTGGTACCACAGATTATCAATATTCTTGTGGGAGTGACTGGTATTTTACCAGATTCTCAAATTTGGAGACCTTCAACTAATGGGGTTTTCTCTGTCAAGACAGCTTATCACTTACTATTTAGTAGTTTGGATTGGCATGATTCCCCTTGGTCCTACTTATGCCATTTGAAAGGATTTTTCCTTGGGTCTAAGATTTTTTGTTTTATTTTTGGGTGAGCATGCAAGGCATGCTTGTGGATAAGGAGAACAGCTGCAGTGGAATCCATTTTAATCACAAGGTTCCTAATACCTTTGCCAATTGCAAGCTGCAACCCAAAGAAAACCCCCCAAACTTCAGCTTCTAAAATCTGTCCTCTCCCCAGATTCACAACAAACCCACTGACCCAATCTAGTTGTTGTGAAATGATAAATCATATTGGTAACTGCTTAGTCCTCCATGTTTACAGGGAGAAGAATGGCATGGCTGATTGTTTAGCTAACTTAAGCTATAACTTCGATATGGGCTTATGTGTGTTTGATTATGCTCCTGTCTGTATTGTTTCAAAACTTTTAGATGATTTGTTCGTTGTATATAGTCATATACCTATTCTTAGCACTAATAATATAGATAAACCATACATAATTTAATTTCTATAAACAAACCCAAAAAATAAAAAAGATATTTAATCATATACCCATTCTTAGCACCAAAACTATAAATAAACCCTACACCATTTAATTTCTATAAACAAACCCAAAAAAACTCAAAAAATGATAGTTGGCCTTATAAATCCTATTAGGCCATCTCCAACCCAAAGGGCTAAAATCCAAATTTAAGGTTTTTATTTTGAAACCTATCTCCAACCCATTATATGGGAGCTTCTATAATGAGGGTTTATAGTGAGGAGGCTATTTGAGGAGGCCCATCTCACCATCAAAAGGGGTGTGGACCCCCCAATGCGCCCCCCCATGTACTTTGTTTTTAGTTGTTGATGGTGAGATTTCACCTCCTCAAATAACCTCCTCACTCAACCTCCTCATTCTAGCCTCTCCATATATTGTATGGAGCTAAAAACTTGCCTAGGAAATAAGGCTGGCTAAATTTAGCCTGATGTTTGGCATGGACTAAAAAAGTGGTGCCCAATGAAGGAGCCCATGTGTGCAGCTAACAGAAGTGGGCCCCAACTCTTCAGTTATGTCGGCCACTCCAACTAATGAGTGTATACTACGTAGTTGCTAGTGAATCCAACGACTAGATTTTTTATTTGTAAAATTTCCTTCGCATGTCAGTTGTCCTCTTCCTGCCTTGTGTCGCCTACTAGTGACGTAGAAGTTGGAATCTAATGACTACTATTCAATCTGTTCCTCTTTTGGCGTTATAATTAAACACAATTATACAAATTTAACTACCCATATTAAATTTGATTGATTTCAACGGTAAAAAAAAAAAACAAGGATTCGATGACCCAAATTAAAATTTAACGGTCAAAATAATATTTAAAATGATCTAAATCAGATCCACCCTTAAAACTCATTTCAAACTCTATAAATAGCAATCAATTTGTTAAAGAATCACCAAATTCAATATGTTTTCCTTTCTCACTTTCTTAATTGTGTTCATTCCCCTTTCTTTGTTGTTTAATATGGCTCCAAAACCACACAAAAAAGTGTCAATTGGAAATCACAAGAAGATGAGGCATTATGCAAGGGTGGACATTTATCTTTGAAGATGGGCTGGTTGGCATCAATCAACCAAATGACACCTTTTGGGTTCGTGTGTAACATAAGTTTTTGGAGAATAATATGTCAGTGTTGGATCAGAGCCATGAACATTTCAAGTCATTGCTTTTCGGTTTAAGATCATCAACCAATAATGTTCTCTTTGGATGACATGTCTGATTAAGGTCAATACAAGCCTGCAAGTGGGGCCAATCTAAGCAACTAGGTTAGTACTCATTTTATTCGAGTTTTAAAGTTCATATTGTGCTTCTTCTTTTTTTCATGTCGTAACTTATCGCTTCTTTTACCCATTTGAGTAGGGCGTGCATGCAAAAACTACTTTTTTGAATGATAATAAGGGTATGAAAAAGCCTTTCAGGTTGAACCATGCATGGCAAATCTTAAAAGATTGCCCAAAGTGGAATGACCAATTTGAATCTCTCACACAAACACCTAGAGATTCTTCCCATAGTGGCAATACATTCAATTTAGAGGAAGATGCAGATGATATGGTCATGCAACAACATCATTCAAGATGCGAAAGAAAAGATCTCTCCGAATTCTGAACCGCCTACAAAAGTACACCGGGGGATAAATTGGTCTTTCCATTAATTAGTCCTCCATGAGATCATAATGATGTTTTTCACTATGACAATTCTTGAATTCACAGCCTAAAACGGAACCATCATGTTTGGATTGACGAGCATATTACTTGAACAATAATGTCATCATTAGAAGCCTTCTCAAGTGAACTCATTGTAAGAAGAATGATATTGAAGGAGATTATGTGTTTGGTTGGAAATAATAATAGCCTCGCCTTGGAGTATCAAGTTGCTCATTCAAGACATCATGCTGATGTGTTCCCTTTGTGATGATGTTGCTTGCAAAGATGGTTACAGAGAAGCAAATTTCTTGGCGGATGGTTTAGCTAATCTGGGTCACAATCTCTCCCCCTCTCAGCTATGGGAGAATGGCCTTCCTATGGCATGTTCTTCTCCTTTTTTATTTTGATCTTTTTAAGCCTACGTGCCCGCGTGGCTTTTCCTTATTAGTTCCCTTTTTTCGCATAAAAAAAAACTCTTCTTAAATAGAAAACGAGATAAGGTTGGAAAAGACGATGAGAGGAAATCAAGATAAGGTATAAT